TTTCCAAATAAACATAAGCTAAAGTATTCGATATCTCCACTTACGAGTTTTATCCACAGGCGATATTATTTTATATCGCTACAATCCCGTCTCGAAAGGGGAAAGAGAAAGAGGAAGGTGCATAAAGCGATTGTAAATTATTTCCCATCAGCCGGCATTTCTCAATGCTATCTATGTATAATTCGCTAATAGGATAACATTGGCTCCAATACAATAATAGCCCGCGTTCGAGCGCAGCGGAGAGCTTTTATTAGACCTCCGTTCGTCCGTTCCAGAATTTAGATCCAATTACGGTAAAAGCGTAACGCGTGCTATCGCGGTTCATGCCGCTGTCGCTGCTCTCTTTCTCTCTCTCTCTCTTTTCCCTCTCGTAATCTTAAAATCGCATAAAACATTCAGAAGACCCATTCAGGAAATAGTCCGGGAAACACAGTTCCGAAAGTCATTGAATTATGAAGTGAGGACAATGGCTTTAGGGGAGGTAGTGGTTAGTTTCCGCGCGCGCGATGTCGGTCCGGATAAGGAGACGCGAAACTTGCAAATCAGTTCAGACTCCACGTTCCGTTTTAATGCGTGTACCTCTCTTTCTCTGTTTCTATCTCACGAGTTCGGTCCGTCTTTCTCTCGGACTCTTGAGAGCGAGAAGCTTAAATCACTCTCGGAGACACTCACGATTTCTTCGGTCACGACAAGAAACGACAAGGACGAGCCGATTCTGCGCACGAGCGAGTTGCTTAGTCCAGAAAGCGGAGCGTTTTCCGTCGAATTTTCCGTCCGAATTGGGATTCCGAACTGAGTGGTCCCCGAGCGAGTCCCTTCTCGTCGGGTTTTCCCGTCCACAGCAATTTCGGAAAAGTTCCACTTCGACTTTGTGATTTGATCTTTTCCCAGTTGCGCCGTCGCAGCGGTCGATCTTGAATTTCAGCACGTCGACCATTCTGGGACACGCGATTTCCGGAGTTTCCCAAGATCTCGGCAGTTGGAACGAAAATGGCTTGTTTGAGAAATTGTAGATGTCTACTCTGGAGAGATGTGGAGAAATGTCAAGAATATAAATTCGGCACGCGCGCGAATGAGGTAAGATGCAAGATTGATGTCGCAGTTATCGATTGAGTTACTTTTTTGTTTTCTGGTTCATCTGCGTATGGCAAGATATTTCAGCGCTTTTGATCAGGTATCAATATATGATATGACAAAAATATCGAGCTTGTTTCGTTTTCAATAAAAGATCTATTTCTGTCCGCCACCTCTTTTCATATTCTCTGTAGTGGAAAGAAATGCAATAAACTCGAGTTGAATGCATTGAAATATCGAAATATCTTGTTGCGCGGAGTTTTTTTTTATATCTCTCTTTCAAAATAATATAAAAACGTTGAAAATCACAGAAAAATGTAGAAATAAGATTTACATGTTACATAGAGACAGATATTTTTCACAGCAAAACTTTTTCTTTAAATATCTCTCGCAGCAATTTTTGTGACGGCTTGTTAGAAAATAATCGTCAAATTGAACGCCAAAAAAGAAATCAAACGGTAATCGCATTCGCGAAATTTGAGCCCTGGAAGATTTCCAAATTGTTTCCTTTTGCGCTTCCGTTCGTGCACGAAGATATCGCGAATTTTTCTTTCCAAAGGTCTCGCTCGTGGCTACGCTGCGGGCACTCAGCCGAGATAATTTTCTGCTTCCGAAGAAAATATTTCGGATTTCTCTCGACGTGCGTTTCTCGTTGCTTTATTTCTCTGAGGGATAAATTCCATTTCGTCGAAGGTACCTTCGTCCTTTCTCTTGTAACTATGCTGTGTTTTCTACAATCGAAATTTTGTATCGAAAAGGTGAAAGAGAGAAAGCCAATAGTCGACAGCTTCTACGCAAATTCTTTGTTGTGTGCCGACGCACGGGTGACTCTTTTGCTTAGATTCACCTCGTCTAGACAGATATCCTCCCGGATTCTTCGGTTTAGGGAAATCCGCACGACGGTTTTCCGCGGATTTGCATCTTTCGGCCGAGAACGCCGCTAAATTCCACTTAGAGCGAATCTCGCGCAGCATCCGCAAAGAAAATCCGTTCAATCTGTTGCATGTCGTGACCCGTCCGCGATTTCTTTCGCACTTTTTCTTGCGAGCAAATCGGGAATTTTCTTTCCTTCAAACGAGCTTGTTTCACCCAGCCGATCGTCCGACGACACTCCTTGCGTCTTTAACGTAAATTCTATTTCACGAATCGCTTGTTTCAAGCTCTCAATTGCTGAGAAATGCGATAATGTTTTCAACGATAATTTCGAAGATTGCGTTTTCGATCGATCGTTCAATAAAATCTGTGGTTTTTCAGGACGTCGGAAAATTGTTTTTTGTTATTAAAATACACAATTTGTCCGATAGGCCATTTTCACGGCGTGACCATTTTCGCGCGATTACTCCCGGGTTTTTTCTCCCGCTGCCAATAGATGAAAATGGTCGCGAAATAGTTTGGAGCGCGACGTTTTATTATTTTTCCGATACCTATCGAGAGAGTGAGAGAGAGAGAGAGAGAGAGAGTAACGCGCTGTCTTGCGGAAGCGCGTGTGCGAGAATTGTTCTAATTGCCGTAACACGCGTCAAATATTAGTTTTGGTCGTGTTTGGTTCTCGCTTCAGGCCAGGCAACGGTAAAATTTGAACGATACGTTATTACCACCCGCGCTTCCGTCCGATATTTTTCAAACGCTTCGCGTTTCAAACGCTCGATCAATATTTTCAGCGATTTCCTCCGCGATTTATCAGTTAACTTAACGTCACGATTTGCGCTTCAGATGTAAAAATATTTCAATTTTCGTAAATAAATAAAGCTCTGAATATTTTGCCAATTTAGGTCGCAGATTGAAATATCCCAGTAATTGCCTCGAATCGAACACGCGTTGCAATCAATTGTGTTTAAATATAATACTATCTATTTTTAGATACAAAAGAAGCAAATATGATGATGGTACGAGACAAAATAAATTATCGCTTATTTAGTGTATAATCGTCTCGCGTATTAATCCGCGTGCGAAAGCAAGATTAACAAGATTCTCGCGAGATAAAAAGATCGCGACAGCGACTGAAAATCCTTCGGGGCATCACGTCCGCGTGGATCCTTTGCGGGCCAACCCAAGCGTACATTTTCTAGCTCGCGCGAAATATAACAAGAAAGCGGAGCGCGCGCGCGCACGAGCTCCACTGCGCGCCGCTCGTTTTCCGCCAGTTTGCCAGTCGCTTTTGCGTAATGGAATCAACGTTTTACTTGTGCGATTTAATTACACGAAGCCGCGGCGCAGAATAACAGTTTGACGAGCGTCTTCGTGCGGCAAAAAAGGATCAAGATAAAAAAAAAAAATAAATAAATAAAGGCAAACAGGATCGAGAAGAGGAATGGTAGGATTCGCGCGATACAATCGATCCAATTCAATTACGAGACAGGCCACGCTGGCGAGGCAGACTTACAGGAAGAAGTCGATGTAATTGCGCTCGTTCTCATTGCCGGACTTCGCCGAAAATTGGATTTCTTACCGCCTCAAATCCTCCCGAACAGCAAACAGCTTCGTCGAGTCCATCGTGGTTCTTTAATCATCTGTTTCCGTGTTACTTTCAAACTCGTGTAAAATTCAATTAGCAACTGGATGCGGTTTTTAAATTAAAAAGTAACGACCACTTCAATTTAAGGAGATTGTATATTCAAACAAGATAATTTAAAATAGCATAAATAAATTTTTTGAAGCAATTTTTTATCGATTTCTACATTGCTATGTGAACAATTTTATCTCAACGCGATTTGTGTAATTAAAGAGCTACACATTATAGCGATTTCTTTATATCTCGTGCGTAACGATCAATGGCACTCGAATGTTGATCGTGTCTCGCGCAGAGCGACATCGAGTAGTATTTGCGAGCGCAAGAAGCGCTTATACATCGACGCCGAGCGACGATTCGTGAATGCTCTCAAACATCAAACGCAGATGGACACTCTGATGAAGTGTCTTGCTTGAGTGTTCTGCCGTATGTTGTTTCCGTATTATGATTATGCGTTTCAGTCGAAGTTCAGAAGACACAAATCTGCTGTGTAATTGTTTTGGAACCTTCAATCCTTTCTTCCTCTTGCACCATCTTGAGAGATTCATTACTATATTATACATTTTCAATTGCTTTTATTAAAAAATAAAAATAATTCTATTAAATTCTAATTAAAAGTAAAACACAAATTGTGACATTGACTGTTTTATTATTTAGAATTATTTTCTCACTGTGTATGCATGTATAAAATTTTTCTATTTTTCTACTATTTATATTATAAAATTAACAATATTATACATAAAATTTAAAAATACAAAAATTATAAATTATAAAAATATACTTACTAATAAATAGTTTAATAAAATACTTTAAAGTTGAGGAAAAATCTAGTTTCTTTTAAGTTTGAAAATCTAGTTTCTTTTAGTCTTTGCATTTGACATGAAAAATCAAATGACTTTATCTTCTGGCGACCGCCAAGATCATTCCGGATATAATCGCTTTTCCGGAATTAACGACACCCACATCCATCTATCGATCTTTTCGCCACACTGACACGAGCACGAGGGATCACACCCATCACCGAACCCGTCTCATCAAGGCGTGGATCGCGCATATCTTTACGCTTGCACAACGATGCACACGAGACGCATCTCGCACGTGACGCAAGAAGAAGGATCTTTTCCCCGATGATCTAGAGCCTCAAACTCTTTCGTCTCCGACCCTCGCAAGAGGGATACACGAGCAGTCGTGCTGCACAAAAACAAAACAAGAACTAAAAAAGAAAACCGATGATGAGAAAAAACAAACGCAGAGAGACGAGAGATAAATGAAGAGACAAGACGAGGCGAGGGCGAAAGACGAAATATACGATTGGTAATAAGGACAAAATAAGAGAGAGAGAGAGAGAAAGATATCGTAAAATCGGGAAGATTTTGTCGACTGATTACGAGAGCGAGTCTCTATTTCTGTCTTCCAGGCACGGCGGAGACAGACGCGGTACAGGCGCTCTTGGCACGTTACCTTCAGCGTCGCCTTCAGGGCTCTCAGCTGTCGACGCCGCCACCGCCCTCGGTCCTCTTCAGTAACGATCATCGGGCCCGCGTGCGACAAGCCACCCAGAGGGGTCCGCCCAGCAACAGCCTTTCGCGAAATGTCAGCGACAAGGACGGGGGCCCCGTCCCTGAGGATTATGACGATTACGAGGACGACCTCGAGGGCTACGAGGACAGCGAGAGAAGCAGAACCAGATTCGACCTCCTGGCGGGTAAATCGTGACTCACCTTGAACAATAACCGCGTGGCTGGTAGAAGCTTATCGCGACATTCCTTAGTTGGCAATATTGCAACATTCTTCTGGTTTTTGCTCGATGATCGTTATTTTCTTTTTTCAAGTGTCAAAAGAGGTTTTTCGTACAGGAATGCAGATAAAGAGAATGTTGTGAAATGGTTTTTTATGCCGATGTGGTTGTGTTAGTGCGACATTGGTGTTTTTATGTCGCTAAGTTATTATGTTAATGTGTACACAATTCTTTTACTTCGCTCTTGTCTCCCTGCGGGATAAAATTGTTTTTTGACATTATATAGACAAGCCGAAAAGACTTAATTAGCATAATATCGTACATATATTGTGACACGCCAATTTTTCGCGTTAATAATAACTTGATTATTAATGTAGGATGGTCGTCATATTAAATTCTGTCGCATATGCAAAGAAAAAAATTGTGAAAAACGTATTTTTGCATTTTAATTATCTTTGATACTTTGTTTCTGACACATTGCTTTGTGTCTGAATTCTTCAAGAATTCATTTTACTACTTTCGCACATTTTTTATCAAATTAAAAAAAAAAGTGTTTTTCAAGACACGGACAAGGAGGGAAGATATCGCGCAATACTTTGCGCAGATGGTGACAAGAACAAAAAAAAAAAAGAAAAACCGCTTTTGAAGATTGCACAAATTATCTGCGGTTTTACTTCCGCTAATACAGCAAAATTACCGTCAAACGACTGTAATGTAACGACGGGGTTTAGGGAAGCGTGCATTGACGTCACGATGCCCCGCTTCTGTTCCGAGCTCGAGTCGCGTACTGAACCGTAGTGAATCGTTTAGGATGGAGCATAGAACCGCACCGACGGCACGCTCTAAATCGCAGGTGATGTCGCGACACGATTTTACGATCAAATCAAACGCAAGTCCACATCGTCGATAGGCATTGGGATCTTCTCGAACAGATTAAAATAACCATTAAATAGGTACATTAAAATATTATGTCAAAATAACGCACAAAGAAATTTCAACAAAGCAAGGCGTTAGATTGATCATTTGCAAACATGTATAAAAATAAGATTTAAGACAATAAATTTTAAACTCGTGAAAGTTTATACATAGTTTAAGATTAATACAAGCTAATTTGCTGAATGTATGTGCAAATACATTTTTAAATTATCTATTTTATTCTATAAAATTTAAAACTTCCATTGCAAAAAAAAGATATCTTGGCTACAAAACGAGCCGGAATATCTCGCAATCTGTGCAATCTATAGAATTTAAATAGAATAATTTTTATATAGCGACATTTTAAAAATAAATTTACTAGCACCTCAATGTCAAATAATATTCGTATTGAAACGAAACTCACTTTGTTTATATAAATCTTTGATACAATGGGGAAACACGTTTCTGTTATAAAAGAAGATAGTATATAGAACGTAATGGCACGAATAGAATGTTTGATAGCTTGAAACAACATTTATTCTGATATCTGTCTAAAATTGTTAGGGTAGAAAATAAAAGATTGGAAAATCCGGGATTCGACGAGAAATAAGCAATAAAGAGAGAGAGAGAGAGAGAGAGAGAGAGAGAGAGAACGGGAGTGATGAAAGTTAGGCAGGCGCGTAAAATCGAATAGAATCGACATAGGATAGTTTTACGTTGTTTCTATCGGTTTTCTGTTTCAAAGCTTTGACGCGGCTTTCGCAGCCATGACGTGCGATGGATTTTTCGATCCGAGTAATATCTGCTCTAACAATTCGTTTGGCGCGGGATTGTACGATAATTTAATTTCTCCTTGTTCCCGGCGAGAAAGTCTGACGTCTCGCGTCAGATAATTCTGACACTTTCCAAATTTCCGCTCAGTCAGTTTTTCAATATTACGGAAAAGTTAATAAGAAATATTAACAAGATAATTTATATATTTTTGACAACACGCCGCGCCCACACAGATGCTTCCAAACCAAATATGTTCTTCAAAAATTAAATTTTTCACTCTCAAAGCTGTTACTAAATTTATTTGCAGGTATTTCTGTAAAAATACGTATTGAGTCCTGGTAAAGAAACTTTGCAGAAAAGAAAAAGAGTCGGAAAGAACCTCGAAGTTCAATCAAATACATATACACGTATAGTGGCAAAAAGGTCAATTCAGTAGAGGCTCGATTTTTCAAAGAATTCTTTAAACACGTATGTCACATGTGGATGTATTGTATATAAAAATAAATTGTTTTATTTTTCTTCTGATAAAAATATAATTAAAAAAGATGTATTTTTTGCAATAAGTTTTTTAAATTTTACAGTGGAGTAAAATGGATAATTTTAAAATACATTTGAGATGCAAATTAAACATCTTAGATGAATTTTTTAATTGAAATCATTTCGAATTTTCGTGTATTAATTTATACGTTTTAAAAGTACATTTGCACATACATCCAACATTGTTTAAAAAACTATATGTTAGTCGAATAATTAAACAAACTTAATGAAATTAAAAAAGATAAGATCTCAATGCGGTAGATGCACATAAATTTAACATATTACACATTTTAATCAACGTTTCTCAAAACGCTATTTCTATCGTGTCACAGAAAAACGTTGACAAGGAATAACATATCTACAAATATTTGTTTTATCGATGGTAGCAAAGAACTGTCATTCGCGAATAGTTTGCGAAGCGCGACATAATGGGGAACGGTGTGAAGCAAAACCGAAAATTATCGACACACGCTACGCATTGTGTCAATATTTTTCTTTTTCTCTCGTATCCCCACGTTTCTCCATCTATTCTTTCTTCTTTTTGTAGCGAAGTGATTTCGCGAACGCGTTCTTTTTTTTTTTGCTTCTCGACGATTTAACTTCACGAATTCGATATTCCATCCGCCGCGCTGTCGTCGATTTAATTGAGCACAAGGGGTTTCGATATTCGTCGAATGCAATATGCAATCGAGCGACATATCCAATCAAATCCTCGTGTGCTGTCGACTGCACTCTGACGCGGCGACAGACTCTTGATAAGTTTTATTCGTTGCTCCTTCACTCACGCGTCGTGATTCCTTCTGCATTGTTCTGCATGGCTCGTCTTAGATTCGATCGGGTCGTGTCTCTTGAGTTTTATACTTTTGTATTATATACTTGGAAATCTAATTTTGTATCGTATAAAATAGAGAAAAGAGAGAATATTCCTTGCGTATAAAGCAGATAGATTTTTTACTTTCAATTACATTGTACATCATTAATGTCATCACACTTGTCACGAAGATCCGACGTGAACGTAAATTGATCCGTCATTGAAAAATATTTTTTTCTTGAATATCAATGAAAGTAATTTAATGGCCTCGAGCACTCTTCGCTGAAATTTTTGCCTAATAGCTATTATAAATACTCGCTACCTATCGACTTTACGCGCCATTGGGCTCGCCCGAGCGCGGGCTTCCGTTTAAAATTTAAACTGGCGATTCCATCTTTCGGCTTCCGTGTTTGTCTTTGCTACATTTTCCGGAACCGCTTTCCTTTCTCTTCTATTCGATGCAAGAACAAATATCGAAGTGTGTTTGCCGATTTTAGATTTGCAATCGAGGTAGGGAAGGGGAAAGGAGAAAGGGTGCAAGGAAATGTAAACGTTTGCGTGCAAACACGAATAGGAGGAAATGAAAATAGCATCGAAGAAAAACGCGATTAACGCAACGAATCATCTGGCTTTACGGTGGCCACTGGTGTTCAAGATTAATCGCGGAAAAGCGCAATTCACGCTTCCCTCGTTTTCTCTCACACATATCTACGCGCACAAAGAAAAACTATGTTAGAAACTTTTTACACTTTCATAGAATTAAACAATATTTGCAGATTCGATTGCTGTTAGAATGAATATGAAGCTAATCACATAACAAAGTTTATCTAAAAAGTAATTCCAAAATTTCATATTAGAGTGATAAGATTTTTTTTTCAAAGCACAATTAGAGTTTATGCTCCCATCGCTCTAATAAATAATAAAGTTAGATCAAAAACGCTGACGATTTATGAAACATAGTAACGCTGGCGTGGCAAACAGATTTGCGACAACGTTACAAATATTCCCAAACACTGTTTTGACAATATAGACACTGTTGCATATGCGGATATCGCACGTTTGCTCTTCGATACATGTATGCGGAATGTCAGGAACACGAGGATGACGCGTTTTGCGCAGTTTTTGCTCATTTTTACACACTCGCGCGGTTATTTCCGTTGACAATGTCTTCAAAAAGGAAACGAAAACGGGAGCGGGCGACGCACATCTGGTGGAGATGAAAGGGGATCGCTGACGGTGCTTAAGATATCACCGCGCTGCAGTCTCTTCAAAGCGGAACGTATATCCGCGCGTGTGTCATGCAAATACTCCGCAAAGTCGCGCGCGGCTTGACAAAGACAAATAATGCGCGGCTCGCAGGTGCATCTCGTTCATGCAAATTTTTTATGAAATTTTCATGAAACACGCGAAGTTCGAGCGTACTATACGACTACGAGGGCTCTTGCCCTTGAAGTAGCGAAGTACGCCGCATTCTAATCCGATGCCGCTTAAGCGACTTGCACACAATTGCAAACGTCACCTGACGCGTTTTCGAGAACGCCATTTGTCTTCGTCACGGATTTACCGATGTGCATACATACATATGCATGTGTTCGTCGGACATCCGCGTGTGTCTTCCGTAATAATCAAGATTGACGATTTGTTCGGATGCATTTTGCGATCGAACAGAGAAGAACAGACGAACGGGATACTCTTATTAATTAATCACCGATCCTACACGCTCGGTGGCGCATTACCGAGAAAAAATTATGAAAGCGCATCCGAGAAACCTCAAAAAAAACAAACAAAAAACAAACAAAAAGAAAATAAATAAACGACCTGGAAGCACCTAAATTGAACAGAAAATATCTTCCAAGCTGCAGAAGGTGAGCAATTCATCACTCTATTGTTGGTGCGTGCGAACAATCTCGTCGGCTTTCATTGCCGGCGT